ACGCGAGTACCCTCTTACCAAGAATCCTCGAAAAGAAGGTGTTCACTCTGTGTGCAAGTAGATGCTACAGCTCGGTCATTGAGTTGTAGTTCATCCCTTTCCATCAGTTGTCTTCTAAGTGTAATGCGAAAGTCTTTCAGCACCAGCTTCCACTCCCCTCAAAAACGCATGGAACCCCAACAGCTGCCTTGAGAGAAGCCTCCTGTATCAACTGTTTGGTTCCTTCTATTGATTCTTAGGTTGGTTCCTGTGTTTCTGTGCTCAGGTCACCCTGAAATGGTGGTTTGGATTGGTGGTCAATTTGAGTGGTGGTTTGGATGGGTGGTACCAAACCCACCGAACAACGGCAAACCAAACTAAGCGGCTCGAGGTGCCGGCCACGGTGCTGGCTGGACCTCCTTCGAGTTCCGGGATTCCCGCACCGGTGACATGGTCAGTCTCAGGCTCGCTCGACTCCTCTTAGGTTTGGGGAGAAGAGGGAGAAGACCCACCCAAGTTCCACATCAAAAGCTGGCAAGCCGAGACATCCGTCATTCTTCATGCCCTCTGAAGTTTTGGCAATGGTTCGTGGCTGAAATTGGGGCCAAATTGGGGTGCGATCTTATGAAGGTTCCTGTTAAGGGAACGTTTTTTTCTGGTTGTAAATTGTTGTAACTCACCCAGACTTGGAAAGACAACTGGCTTCATGCTAGTTCCCTTTTCAGGCGGTTCAGCTCTTTTTGACACGTAGGATAGATATCCAGATTGTGCGTTTTACTGCAGACTATCATGGGGCGAGCAATAGATATCCGGGCCCGACTGAAGTTGCTTGGTTTGGTCCCAGCCATTCCAACCATCGAACGGCGAGGTTTGGGACGGATCGATCAACAGCTTGGGGCTGGAAGAGTAAGGTCCTTTGCTCAGGTGGCACTTGTTGTCTTCGTTCTTGCATTTCAGAAATCATGATACTGAAGCTTTCCTGACTTTTTCCTCCTGACAACGAGAAATGATACTGAAGCTTTCCTGACTCTTTTTGTTGTCGCTCAGCGTGGTTAGCGCTCGTTGTGTTCCTTGTGCCCTTGGATGTTCAGACTGCACCCGCGCAATGGTTTTTGCACATGCACCATATCCTCACAGCGCAGGCGCTTTGTTCTTCTAGTCTCCCGGAAAACAAGAACAAACACCTTGAGTCCAGACAAAGGACAAAAGATCTGCGAAGCAGCGCCGCAACAAAATGGCTGAGATACAGAGATAGCCATGGTTGAAACACTATTCACGATTCAAGCTTCTTGGCTCTCCAACCTTTCACATCCTTGCACACAGTGCTTTCCTTTGGATCTAATGTCTTTGGTGCGTTTCGCCAAGGGATTTTAGGACAGAAGAACTTTTGGCCAACTGGGTGGTTCGTACTTTTAAACCACGAAAGGTTAGAAGCGTTTAGCAGGGGAGCAGATTTCGCCACCGAGCGAGATCCGGCGGTGTCCTGAGTGAATCCGTAAGCACAGAGGTCCTTCACTGAATCCATAGGATGTGAAGGGAAGTCGAACCATGTGTTCAGGAGCTATCCCAATTTCGGACACTAGAAAACAGGGTTGTGGGATCAAGGGGTTTATCCCCACTTCAGTGATACAAGGGAATCTCCTCCTTTGTATGGGGTCTTAGTCTTTGGGAGGCCCTTTTTGTTGTATCACAGAAGTGGTCATTTCCCACAACCCTGCCAGAAAATCACAGACATCATCACCAGCTGGACTCCATCGCATCTTAAAATCAGCGGCTCTCCGCTGCACACGCCCCATGCCAGCAAGCGCTGAGCCAACACACGACCCATTCCAGGAAGTTCTCGCAGCGGGGGCTGGCAAGTGGTGGGCCATCCAATCAACCATAGGTGCCCATTTTAGGTTAGTTTAGTTAAAAGTAGATGGGTTCCACTGGTCTAGATAGGTGTGATTCCATTTACCAGGGCCATCCATTTTTTCCCAAAAGGCCACCTATGCAAGCAACTGAATGACAACATCCACAATCACGGGATTTCGGCGACTTGGATTTGGGGTTCCTGGTGCTGGTGCCAGGAATGAACACATCTGAACTCTCGCCCAGCGGATGTTGCAAGATCTGGCGCTTCTTCCGGGTCCATGTTTGACGGCAGCAAAGATTATGCCAGTATTCTGACATTGGGGCGCGGAATTAACCTCCGATGGAGATGACCATCAATATTTTCTTTTTAGCAATCAACACATTTCGGTATCCAAGAAAACACGATTTTAGCAATCCAAAAACAACTTTCCACGATCCCAAAACAACTTTCCACGATCCCTTTGTATTGCTTGACTTATCTCTTGGTCCGAGCCTTGTGGTCCCTTGGTCAGTTGGTCCTTTGGTCATTTGGTCTGCCGGGCCTTTTCTTTGGTGGGGCATTTTTGAAAGGATGGTGATTTTTGTTGTGCTTTTCAGGGTGGCTGGCTTTTCAGTTTTTGTCGGCTTTTGTGGCTTTTTCGCGAGTTTATACGGCGTTTGGCGGCTTTTTCGGCTTTGGCTTGTCGCATCCTTTGCATTCCCAGTTTCTCTCTGGCAGGTGGCTTGTTGGCTTTTGCGGCTTTTCGATGGTTTAGGCGGCTTTTTCGGGTTTGGCTTTTTGCCTCCTCTGCTTTCCCAGCTCCTCTCCGGCGCTTTTGTTCACCTGGCCCCTGAGGGAATAGATTGGTTTTGATTGCTTAAACAACTTTCTTGTTTGCTAAAGTTAAAGATGTTATTTTGATACCCTACCCACGATGCTTGTTGTGTTGGTGATTTCGAAAAAGACCCCTCGTTCAATTCTCAGTGAGCTTCCTTGTTGAGAAGGGCCATCTTTGCTCATGTGATTGCTGCTGGTGCCGAAGCAATCTTAACAATATTTCAGGTAACCCTTCTTAGTTGGTGGTTCACACTTGGTGGTTTGGGGTCTAAACCTCTGCTAGGAAACCCTCCCCAACCAAACGACCAATCCAAACCACCAATTGGAGGGAAGTTGAATAGGAGCAGGTGGAACCCGAACCGCCGAAGGTGTCAACACTTCGCACACCGTGATCCGGTGGACCTAGCTGATTGCCACCAAGAGACTCTCAGCACAGTGATTGCAGCTGACATTTGCAGGGCGGTGTTGCTGAAACGCCCAGTTGCCGCCCCATAGAATGAAGCGCAAATGAGGGTGTTCAATTGACGGATTGAAACAAACTGGTACTTGGCTCCACCCTTCCCCGAAACAATATATATATATATTAAACAAAAAAAAAAACAGAAGAACCTTTGGACCCTACTAGTGTATATTATATATATATATATATATTCATACATTGTATCGGGCCATGTCAAAATAAAGGAACCCCCCTAACATGTGGTTTCTTTTTGGTACCTTTGAACAACCCCGAAAGGGTTACCTTAACAACATGGTCATGGGGGCTGTGGCCCTGTGGTTTCCCAGTGGTTTTGTGGCTTGGTTTTTGCTGGATCCATACCTTCTCTTTGCGAGAGGGTAGCAGAGAACGCGGGGCCATATCTTCATGACTGGTTGGTTGCATCTTTTTGGACTTCAACTTTTGGGAAACAGTGAACTTTCCATTGGACCCACAGAAAGTTAAACCTGTAGGGGTCGTTACAGCAACCAACACATAGTTTCGGTGTGGTCTTAGCTGAGGATCCTCATCTTGCAGAAGTTCAAGCACGAGAATCTTCTGAGGCTGATTGACCTCCTGCCGCCCCTTGCGGCCAACAAGCACTTCCGGGAAGCGGTTTGCCGGAGCGCCCGGTTACGGGTACTCGATTCCGATACTCGAAAGGTCACTTAGGTTTGAGGGATGGTCATGAGACTTCGGGCCCTTATAAAACCGAATATATGTAGGTAGAATAGCATATTTTTGTTGAAATATATGGATAAGATATTCTGTATTGAATTAAAGGAACCTAAGGCTCTCTCTTGAGACATTCTGCGTCATGGGGTCTGCACGTGGCCTGGATTGCTGGTGTACAAACCTTGTTTGCAGGACATGTTTGTTAGAACTTTAAAGGATCCTACACACCCTGAAACAAAGGGGGACTCTGGTGATGAGCCCCTGAGTAGGTCATAGGTCCTTTCTGCTTTGAGATGGCGTTCCTTTCTGCCAGACGTCTTGCTGAGGTCTTAGGGTTTTTTGCACCCGGCCCGGTCTGGTTCCGGCCGAGGCATCATCGTGGAGCACATGGACACTACGCTTAGCTCTGTCATAAGGACTGACGTCTGCTTGCTTGCTCCACTGTTTGGAGCTGCAGATCGGGATTTCCTAGGTCCCAAAAGGTTGCAGATCTTCCAATTTTGGGCTGAAACCTGCTGGAGGAATAATTTCGAGATTCATTTCGCAGCGCAAGCCAATTCATTGCAATGGAAGAAAGTTTTTCCCTTCTTGGGTGATCTAGCTGTGGGGTCTTGAGGTTCCTGATGCTGGAATTGCCGGAAAGGTTTGTGATTGAGTCAAAGTGAGAAGAGAAGCGTGAGCCCGTGTACATTTGTACCCCTGGATATTCCTCAGCAAAGGAACCACCACCAGAGAATGATGTCCACATCGAGTTCTGGCAGATACCTACTGCCTTGAGCGGAACGCATGAGTCTCCAACAGTGTGAATCTGCAGAAATATGCTCGTACAGTTTTGCGACCGACGAGTCTATTTGTAGATCATCGACGTCATCCCCTCCCTGCATTTTTTGTTTAATGAATTGAGCGAAGTAATGATTCAGAACCCTCATACTGGACAGTGACTCGGAGTTGCACGTTTGTGGCGCTGCTTTTGTGTCACTTCAGGCTGATTCAGCAGATGCACTTGGACATTTCTCTATGCCACGAAGGTGTGTGCGTGTGTGTGTGGTTTGCGTCCTTTGGTTCTTGACTCAGCCCGGCATTTTCTACGATTCTAGGCAAATACCTCACGAGGGGTGAAACAACCTCGCCCAACTTGAAACTATTGAGCGTTCTTTGTTTCACGTCGGTGAAACCAACATATTTCCTTCTCAACTGTGGCGATGTGTTTTTCGGCTTCCAGCAGGGTTGCTTAAAAAGCCCCAGTGGTCAACAATGCCCGAACAAAAGCACTATGTTGATTTCGCAAAGCAGATCCTTGACCCGGACCATAGTGACGGCCATCGAAGTAGTGTTAGAGGATTCCACTTTGAAGCCCATCAACAATACGGGCTGAAAAGACCCTGTCTCACTCCCTGAGGTCCTAGACTTTTTTTTTTGGAAAGACCATGATGGTGGAACTTAAGCAGTTCAGACTTTTTTGCCAATCCTCTCAGGTGAGCTGTGTCTTGCCACTCAAACAGAACTGAACGTTTCCGGACTCGAGCAGACATTTTCCGCGAGATTGAATTGGAAGCGTGTGGCTCCCGAATCACGGACGGCGGGCGCTGTTTTCCTTCTTCTGGGCAACTAGAATGATTTGATTGAGTGGTCAAGCGGTTCGGAACACCGGGGTGCAATATCCTCAGTACCCCGACCCTGGTTCGCAGTCTCAGCAAGCTGGTGACAGCTCAATGTTGCATGTTGTTGCATGGTCCCAGCTGGAACCTTGGCAACTCACGCCAAGAAGCATCCCTGAGGCACCCAACCAATCCGCATTCAGACGATTCCACTCTATAGACCACAAGCCAACCAAAGCCTCATACAAAGCCTTAAAGCCCTGAACCGTTTCAGTGCAAGGGAATTGGGCTCAAGCTTTTTACAACCGGTGGGTCGACTCATTGTGAGGAGCAAGCAGGAACTGACGCAGGAGCATTGCCAGTACCTCTCCTACCAAATCCTCAGGCCACACTACTGTGGATGAGCGAAATCCTGCACCACCTAATTATCCCTGGAATTATGATATTATTTGAAAACAGCAACAAACAATGGCTTCCGGTGGTTTCAAAGTGGTTCGGGATTTAGTCCATGCACAGTATTGCATGCGGCTGAGCGAATGCGCAAACATGGGATCGTTCTCCTGATGCCCCCAGATCGGACCCTCTCGGCATGGTTGGCTTTCTGTTACGTTTATTTCATATTATGCAAGATGGAGTCCCTTATCGCTCCACCTACTTGAGACGCAAGACTAACCGCTGATGAAAGCTCTTGGGCCGCGCGAAATCACTGCCCATGTGTTGCAGCTTGGATTTCCTCTCAGCATTATTTTGCTTCTGAATTTCAGGATTTCTTGGTTGTATCTAAGCAGCCATATATGTGATATTCATGCTGGATGAATGGCATCAAAAGGTTCCCTTTGTTAACTTCAAGCGTTCATGTCGAGGGGATCCATTGGAGACGGCAGGGCTCTGTGCTACATGCACTCAGCGGGCTGTGTCCATGGGCAGTTGCAGCCGAACTGCGTGCTGGTGAATCGGAGGCTCGACTCGACTGGGTTTGCCTTGGATTCCTGCAGGGAAAAATGGCCGGCGGAACCACGTGCACATGAATCCCCACACAATTCTGATGTCCACCAAAGTGTCTGGGACCCATCAACATTCCCGCCCAACTAGTTTTAGGGCGCCCTTACAAAGTGGAGTGGGGGTCCCTTGATTTGAAAGATTGCGTCAAGGGTACACCGCTCCTGGACCCCGGGCACCTTCCTTTCCTCTTAGACATGTGTCGATTGGCAGCCGACCTTTTCGGCCCGTGGATCCCATGGATTTTTTGGCTTCCAAATGGATTTAGTTGACCACCGGAAGCCTGATCCACGAAGGGAGCGGCTTAAATGCCACTGAGTGAGTAAGCCGTAAGCGGCCCGGAGGTCAGCGGCCCGACTCTCCCTTTGGTTTCAGCTGACCTCAGATCAGTCGGGTGCGCTCGTTTGAGCCGAAGCTGGCCCTTGCAGTGAATTGACTCGCCTCATGTCAACTCGGGGAGTCCCAAGCTCTCGCGAACTGTGTCCCCCTAGTTAACACCCACTAAGCTCGAAAGTCTCTAGCCTTTGACCAAAAAACAGGGGTCCGGTGAGTCTCAACTTACAAAGCTTCAACTATATGGCTGTAGGTCAATACCCTGTATCCCTGGTGAACATCAAGATAGGTGGCAAATGGATGTTCATCCACCCCAAAATGGAGCCGTAGGTTATGCCCCATGGCCATATGTCTGTATCCGTATATATAGTTCTTCAGGACAACCCCATCGCAGCAAGCGCGGCATTTTCCGCAAGTACGGCCATGGACAACGTGACAAGATGCGTCCCTCAATTCGATGGGGAACTGTTTGATGTTTACCAGGTGGTCATTGCAAGCTGTGTCACTTAGGGATCTATGCCATTGGGGCCACCCCGGAAAAAATCCAGAGGTATTTTTTTGTACAGGGCGGGTTGGCTCTCAATCCTTCCAGTGTTCCAAATGACCTGGATACACATTTGGTACGGAAAATGTATGAACAAAAATGACATGTACAAGTATATATATATATATTAATAGCATATCAAAAGGCCTCAGTCGCTTCTTGTGGGGAGCCTACCAAACAAAACATGAGCGACTCATCAACCAGCCAGCATCTGTGTCTCACGCCCTACAGCATGCAACAGTAACCAAACCTCATTTCTACAAAATTAGCTATCCAGGCCCAACCCCCCCCGATATGGCCCGCAAAGAAAGCAAGAGACATGTAGCCTCTATAAAACGCATTCATTTTCCAGAACCTACTTTACAGAAAAGAAAAGAGAGCCGAAACCACAAGTCCTACAAGATGGGTTCTCTACAAACTGGGCTCACCCACTCAACGGCCGTCAACCTCACCCATTCATAGAGGAAATGCACAGGGGGTTGTCAATGCTTGTTGAACAGGGCTCCTTAAAATATATATGTTGCCCATTTGAAACATGGCTTTTTCCACCAAAATAGAGGGACACCACCATTTACAAGTTGCAATGTTCAGGTGCATAATGCATCCGGATCCCTGTTCAAAGAGAATCAGGGTTTCGCTGAACCCAGGTTGGAAGGGGGCAACTGAGAGAGGACTAGCAGGTTGGTCCTGTATGATGGAGCGTTTGGATTGATTTTGAGTCACATGGGTATGGGTCAAAATTAAACCCGGATATGGACCGCTGGTACTAGGGTCCATGTTTCCACTTACATTTGGGCAAACCATTTGGGGTAGCTATTTGTGACCCATACTTGCTTGTGCCATTGTTTGGATACCAGAAGGTCCGCCAAACTCGACTGCCCACACCATCTCAAACACTACTGGGACTTAGCGCCAACACGCCGGGATGTCAGTCAGCAACATCAACCCCTAGCTCCTAGCAACACCATTCCACAATGATGGTTTATGGAAGTGTACAGTGTGCATGGAATCCTATACTCCTTGTCAAATTGTGCTGCTCACGCGATCTTTCCACCTTTTGTCCTGAAGTCCAAAAGGTGGAGAGGTTTTAGTATCGACAGAGATGAAGCAGCCGATCAGTCGCGGGCCACTTGCAAAACCTTCGACAAGGCGATTCATGTCACACCTATCCTTGTCCTTCTTTTTAAGGGTGGAGCAGCCTGACAGTTTTACCTGCTGGCAGCCTACATTTCTTGCTGTTTGGCATTTTTTTGGTTTGCGCAACCGCTCGAACGATTAAAACCTTTTCTGGCCGTGGGCATTTTGCTCCGCAATGCCCAGGAATTGCCATGTCAAGGTCTCGAATTTCAGAGAGGTGCTGGAGCTGGGCAAAGGCCGGCCGGCACGGGGTCGGACCCTCTGCAGGGAAAGGGGAAACCACCAAGCGGGATTCCGGGACACAACCTAGGTCCCCCCCAGTAGTCCCGTTTGCCAACTTTTCCGGGGGAGGGTTCCCCTACTAAAATAGACTACAGTTCCACCAGGCGCGGTTACTTCCTGAAAGTCAGGGTGTTCAAAGAAAAGCAGAGCTGCAGAAGCTCTGTGGGCGTTGGGCCGGTCAAACACCCTCGTGATGAGCAAATTGGACAGGGAAAGTCGCCCCAACTTGCCGCCACAATATGCTTTTCGTGCGCAACTCAAGGCGCCAGCTGGAGCAAAAGCTGCGATGAAGGCGTTTCTTTCAGCTAGGATCTGCGTCTCTCGCCTATGCCTAAACCTGCTTAGTTCGACCTCCAGCCGCATTCATGGTTGTTGTTGGGAAACATGTTTAGCATTTCTGCATATTGTGGTTGAGTGGTTGAAATCCAACCACTCAACGGCTAAAATCTGAAACCAAGTGATTTCGAGCTGCGCATTTCGAGCTGTCGGTGACGGCCCAGTGAAGGGCAGCCTCGGGACCACGACGCGGCGCGCTGGTACCGGGCGCCCGAGCTGAACCTCAACACGGACCGGGTCCAGCTGGGAGTCGAACGACCTGTTTGCCCACTTGAGCCACGTGCTCAAAACCGATTCGGGTAGATGAAGGTTAGGAAGGGGCAGTCCCAGCCAGAAATAGTTGCGGCCGCCTTCTGAATTCTTTACATTGTTCTGGGTAGACCATTTCTCACTTTACGTTGCCTTAAACAAAGTTGCAGATTTGTTATTTTTACCATTGACTTCTCAAAAATGTGTTTCTCGGGTTGGACTTTTTTCCTCCACGATTTTGCCAGTGGTTTCCTACCGAGTCGAAAGGTCCGGTTTGCTTCATGTAGGGGAAACATTTGCCAGGACAAGGAAAGCCACCGGGCAAGAAAGCAAGGTAGGCATGGTTCTTGTTGGGAACCATTTTGCCTTTTTGCTTCTTGTGGTTTATTGGGACATTCCCACTGAACTGCAAAAAATAAAATTTGTGCTCCCCTTCCAACGTCAACCAAGTAGAAATTGAAATTCTGGGTAGCCTGAGTTGCACCTGGGATATTGGACCTCAGTTGTTCAAGGCGAATCGACCTTTTGACCTTTTGGCTTTCCCTTGGTCTATTTTTAGTAGAGGTCCCAAAAGGTTAACAGGTCCTTTGCGCAAGTGAGGGACTGTACCTTGCCAATGCGCATGATCACAACTCTTGTAAAAAGGGTTGTTTTGGTGGTTTGCACCGAGCTTGCTAGCTGAAACTCGGTGTTTTGCACACTGCAGGGCTTTCCTACGACTTGAGCATGTGAGAGGCTGCCCTGGTTTGGATCAACAATCGGAAATGTTGAACCGTGTTTGATGATTACGATGATATGGGCCTTGCAAGGGCGGCACGTCTTTGAGCAGGTACCTCACGATTCGCTTCAATGATTGCTCCTGCTTTCAGCGTCGCAGTTGGCATTGTTTTGCTGGGCAGAACGGTATTTGTGTCGGGTCTTCCTGTTCCGATTTAGCAAGACGGATGTGATGTTCAGATCGTTGGGCACAGTTCTTTCAAAACAAAGTGGTGGGTCATAGAATTATTTCAGTTCAGTAGGGTCAAAGTTAAACCACCACAAAAACCGCAGGCTTTAGTCCTTGTTTCCATGCAACCCATTTTGGGTACATATTTTTGACTCACGTTTCAGTTCTCTCCAGGTCACATCCAGTTTGTTTTGCCGCAGGACTGGCAAGCGCTGCCCATCTCTGGTGCCATCGATGCTGCCTGGCAGGTTTATCGCGAACGCGCGGATGGGATTGGCTGCAAAGGGTTTAGCCTGGTTTGTGCGTACTTTCTGGTCTCGGTTGTTCAGTGGCACCAATTTGGTGGCTGCCCCACTAAAAATGGTCTTCCCAAAAAAGGGTTCCCTTTTTTTCCCAGGGTCGCTGAACAACTGAGTTGTGGTTGTTCGGGGCATGGGCGCGGGAATGTCCCTGAGTTGTTGAATGACATCCCAGGCAAACATGAGGCGGCGTAGGTTCTCAGGGCTTCTGCCGGGCTGTAGATCATGCAGAGGTAGGTCGGGGACCTCTCAGTTTGCAACCATTGGAATCCGAGAACGCATCGAATCAACAAGTGCGTTGTGTCTGTGGCAGGCGTGGGAGGGTCAAGTATCGCGGTCTTCTTAAACTGATAAAAAGGCTTCCCGGGTCAAAATTGAACGCTCACGTCGCCAACAGGTCTCATGCTGAAGGATTCTCACGAAGCGCAACTTTTTTTTCACTCAGTTGTAAATTATGCTTCAGACTTTTTTGCAAGTGTTTTTTTTCAGTCGTCCAAAGCAAGTTGTCGGTTTTTCATTTCGGTGTCCCCTTTTGGCCTTTGGCATCCGGAGAAAGAAGCAGTTCTCGGCCACGGTGTGCATCCCCCGATTTTTGTTTTTGGGAGCCCCCCCTTGGGGTGAGCATGGCAAAAGGGTTTCTGATTCGGAGTTTGGGTTCCAAGAAGTTCAATGGGTGGTTTTCTTTAGGCTATCTAAGAGACTCTGCTGTGCTGAAGGTCGGCAGATGGGCTCGGTACAACGAAAAGCCCCACTAAAATAGACTATAGAATGGGTGGTGAATTCACCTACCCCAAAATGGTACCAAAACGGTTTTGACAACCACAGCCACATCTTCTTGGGGTGCCCAGATTTGGAATGCTGGCGCCATCCTCTTCGAGATGTACAAGCGCAAGCCGCTTTTCATCTGCACCGACCTCGCCGATCACCTCAAGAAAGTGCTCTCCGTGACAGGAAAAGCTGGGCGTGCAGCTTGAGCTGCGCAAAGTGGTTGTCAAGACCGTTTTGGGATCCTATTTTGGGCTAGGTGAATTCACCACCCATTTTGGTGGGGATTGGGTGCACCACCCATTTTGGAGCCTATTTTCGTGGTTCGATTGGGATGTTCACTGGGGGTATGAATTGGATTTTGACCCATGGCCAGCTGTGCAAAGTGCTGAGCGCATACTTTCCATGACTCTTTCTCTCTCAGTCTCTTGCCCAGGAAGCTGTTTGCAATCACATTGGACCAATGGCACCTTTTGACCGCGCCATGCGTTTGTATCAAAGATGGGGGCTTTTGGACCTAAGACTGCATACAAGTGCAGTATGGAAACCTTGAGCAAGGGTTGGCATCCTTTTTCTTTCCTGCTACTGCCATGGGCCTTCTGCTTGAAAAAATGGCTTGGTCTCGACACGTCCCCATGTTGCTGTGGGCTCTTCGCTTTCGGGAGGGCATCCTGCGGCAAAGGGAAGAGCACAAAGCTACGGTCCAAGATGAGGGTCATCACTGAGAGGGGCCATACAACACGTCCATGATTCGGGATGAGATAGGATAGGATGAGAGGGGAAGGCTCAACATGAAAGCGGGCAGGAGGGATAGTGTGTGTGTGTGTGTGTTTGTGTTTGTGTGTGTGTGTGTTTAAGTGTGTTTGTGTGTGTTTGTGTGTGTGTGTTTGTGTGTGTGTGTTTGTGTATGTTTGTGTGTGTTTGTGTGTGTTTGTGTGTGTTTGTGTGTTTGTGTGTCTGTTTGTGTGTGTGTGTTTGTGTGTGTTTGTGTGTGTTTGTGTGTGTGTGTGTTTGTGTGGGTGTGTGTTTGTGTTTGTGTGGGTGTTTGTTTGTGTTTGTGTGTGTGTGTTTGTGTGTGTCTGTGTGTGTGTGTGTGTTTGTGTGTGTTTGTGTATGTTTGTGTGTGTTTGTGTGTGTGTGTGTGTGTTTGTGTGTTTGTGTTTGTGTGTGTTTGTGTATGTTTGTGTGTGTTTGTGTGTGTTTGTGTGTTTGTGTGTCTGTTTGTGTGTGTGTGTTGGTGTGTGTGTGTGTTTGTGTTTGTGTGTGTGTGTTTGTGTGTGTGGTTGTGTGTTTGTGTGTTTGTGTGTGTGTGTGTGTTTGTGTGTGTGTGTGTGTGTGTGTTTGTGTGTGTGTGTGGGTGTTTGTTTGTGTTTGTGTGTGTGTGTGTTTGTGTGTGTCTGTGTGTGTGTGTGTGTTTGTGTGTGTTTGTGTATGTTTGTGTGTGTGTGTGTGTCTTTGTGTGTGTGTGTGTGCGTGCGTGCGTGTGTGCGTGCGTGCGTGCGTGCGTGGGTGCGTGGGTGCGAGAAGTGTGTGTGTGTGTGTGTGTGTTTGTGTGTTTGTGTGTTTGTGTGTTTGTGTGTGTGTGTGTTTGTGTGTGTGTGTGTTTGTGTGTGTTTGTGTGTGTGTGTGTGTGTGTTTGTGTGTTGTGTGTGTGTGTGTGTGTGTTTGTGTGTGTGTTTGTGTGTGTGTGTGTGTTTGTGTGTGTGTGTGTTTGTGTGTGTATGTGTGTGTTTGTGTGTGTGTTTGTGTTTGTGTGTGTGTGTGTGTTTGTGTGTGTTTGTGTGTGTGTGCGTGTGTTTGTGTGTTGTGTGTGTGTGTTGTGTGTGTGTTGTGTGTTTGTGTGTTGTGTGTGTGTGTTGTGTGTGTGTGTTTGTGTGTTTGTGTGTTTGTGTGTTTGTGTGTTTGTGTGTTTGTGTGGTTGTGTGGTTGTGTGGTTGCGTGGTTGTGTGGTGTTGTGGTGTTGTGGTTGTGTGGTTGTGTGGTTGTGTGGTTGTGTGGTTGTGTGGTTGTGTGGTTGTGTGGTTGTGTGTGTGTGGTTGTGTGGTTGTGTGGTTGTGTGGTTGTGTTGTTGTGTTGTTGTGTTGTTGTGTTTGTGTTTGTGTTTGTGTGTGTTTGTTGTGTGTTTGTTGTGTTGTGTGTGTGTGAGACTTGTGCAAGGGCTACATAGCCACAAGCTGGAGGCTGTTTCTCAGAGGGGGTACGTTTCAATTTGGGTTGTGTTTAAATAGGGGACCAAAGGCTAACCACGAAGTTTGGGGGAGAGACACGTCGGGACCCGCAGGATTCCCCGCAGAAGCCGAAATGGACTGGGTGACGAAGCGCGCAAAGGATTACATGGCACCTCGGACGCGTTTTTGATGTTTGGTACGGGAGATTTGGGTCTTGGGCAGTTCAATCGTGTGTGTGTGTGTTTCCTCGTTTTTTGGGATTCACTTGCATTGTCGTGATGCTGTTCTGACACTTGTGGCACGTGCAGGGATTCGTTTCAGGATGCATAGTGACTCTCTAGGAATATTCGTGACAGGAATCTACATCTACAACATTGAGTTGATTTTGACCATCGCTGCGTGAAACCGGTAAACTTGGGAGGTGGGTGTTTCCGGAAATTGCTGACCCGCACCGATGATTGGCTCAGTGACTCACCAAGATTATAATACTTTTGGAGGGTATGGTTTAAATGGACACCAACAGGAAGACTTGTTGGGAGGTCCCCTATCTTCATGGGGGCTGGGGGGGAGGGAGCCCAACAAGCTCAAGGCCTTATTAGGGGCTTAATAAGGGTTTTCTTATTTGAGCTCCCTCCCCCTGCCCCTCCCTCCCCACCAGCCCCCATGATATCTTGAGACAGACCGATGGTCAAATCTCCGTTTGGGTTCAAAGAACGGGTGCCTTTTTTCCTCTTCAAACCGGGCCCTCAGCTCCGAGTGAACGCAAGCCGAACGCCGCTCCGCGGGCTTGTGTTCGTTCAACGAGGCAAGGTCTCAGTTCCTGAGGTCCTAGACCCTGGGGAAAAAAGGGGAACCCTTTTGACACATGGCACCTCCGCGGTCGAGCGGCGCAGGTAACTGGGGCATGCCGCCCCACCACCTCTAAAAGGCCCACAGGGCCACCTAAGAAAACGGTGGCCACAGGGGATCTTTAAAAGGGGAACCCTTTTTGGGGAAGACCATTTTTAGTTAAGCCACCAAAAAAAAGGAAAAAGAAAAATAACTGCTGCCTCTGAGACCAGAAAGTACACAGAAACCAGGCCAAACCGTTTGCAGTCATAGGAAGGATCCCTCTAGGGGTACCTTCCATTTCCATTCTTTCCAGGAATTCAGGAAACCATCAAAACCCCAGGAAAAAACGGATCCGGTTTGTGAAAAGAACGCTTGTTGGGGAATCAACCCCTAGAAATATGTGGCAGTTGGATGAAGCCGAAAGTGCCGAAAGCGCTAAAAAGGGAGAAATCACCCACGTGCAGGATTTTGGTGACAGATCCAAATTAAGAGGGTGCAGCCCTTTTGACTGATGCAGCTGAAGGGTAAAAGTGTCACTTGAATGGGTTTGAAAGTAAACAATGGAAAGGCAAGCCCCCAAAAGTCCATTTGGGAGGCATAGGTATACGGTATATTCCACAAGCTTTCCACGCGCTTTCTCCTTGAAACACATGAAGGTTTTGTTTGAAAGCAACACCCGCATGTGACATATTGTTTTGCAACATCGAACATCCGCCTGAAGGCAGCTGGGCATGTGTGTGTGTGTCAAACACGGGAAGCCGGCCCCAAGAGTCGAGGGTCTTCCTGTTGGTGTCCCTTTCCAAGCTGCTTTTGGGGGCACCAGCTCCAACACACCATATGGTTGTTTTCCAAAATGGAGACCCTTCCTTTTGGCTCCTTTTGGCCCATCTCCTTCACCCCGCTTTCCGCGGCCTTTCGGGGGGCACCGCGGCTTTCCGCCGGTGGCTTGGCTTCGGCGGCGCACCGCGCGCGGCGCGGCGAAAAGCCGCGAGGCCAAGATGCCGGCGGCGCCGGCGCCGATCGGCTGGAAGGAGCGCATGGGGGGCAGCGAGGCCGCCTGCGAGCTCATGGCCCGCATCGCGCCTCGTCTCGGCAGCGCAACGTTGCCGCGCGTCACGCGGTGGGAACGACCGGGGGACGAAGGAACGGAGCACCGCACCTTTTTGCTTTAGGAGGGGGGTCCGCCAATTTGGAGACATGATTTGTTTTTCTGTTAGTATGTTTTATTTGCCCCTGCTGGGTTTTAAAGGACATCTAGCACTACTGGAAGTATGTTATCATTGGTTCAGTCGGCTTATGCAAATGGAAGTTGTTCATGTGCTTTGAGATAGGGAGCGAATGTCTTGAAGGATGCCACAAGCGGGTGGACAAACCATCGCTTGACCACCCAATCATCCGGCAGGTCGCTTGTGGGCGACGTCGGCGTTAGGCGATTCTTGTCGTTCTCGGCCGCAGCCCAGTGTTGCATGGCTGGTTGATGCCCTTGAGTCATATGTTTTCCGGCAACTTGTCCTTTCGGGCTTTCAACGTTTTTCCGGGCATGCGCCATGTTTTCAAGGATATCCTTCAACATGCCTGGCAAGCGCAGTCTGGCAAGACCATGACTATGCAATGTACATGCCATGCATATTGATCTCCAAACAGGTGGTTTTCCTTTTGGTTTCCCCTTAAACCCAACCCACAAGGGGGTTCCCTAAAAGGCAGCCATATGTTGGCGGACGTGCTTAAGCCTTGATTTTGGAGCGTTTTGGACTTCCTGAACAAGGTCCCGAGGCACCCAGATGGTGGAAAAGGATGCCTGTTCAGCACGTATTCATGGTTGTTGTTGGGAAACATTTTACATGTTTGCTTCTTGTGGTTGAGTGGTTGAAATCCAACCACCTAACTGCTCAAATCTGATTTTTGTTGGCTCCCCTTCCAGCGTCAACCAAGTATTCCTGCCCGAGTAGATGTGTTCTTTGTGGTTTCCCCCCCCCATCCCATCTTGCAGAGGGGAACAAACCCCCCTAAACCCTTCCAACGTCCACCAAGGTCCCCCAGTAGGGCCCTTTCTCTCCCCTTTGTTGGTTGGGGTTTTGGGTTCCCCTACAATAGACCGAAAAAAACTCGGGGACCCTTCTCAGAAAAAAGGGTACCAACTTATTCTATCCTCTCAAGTCTGGATCTCGAGGTCCGTCCGAGAAAGCGAAAAAAAATCGCGACGTTTCGCCGCTGGCCACCAGGTGCGCTTCGACCCCCGGCAGCGATGCAGCTGCCAGGAGGCGCTACAACTCAGGCGAGACGCTCGACGTGGGCGAGACGCGGATGTCTTTGGCTCCAGTTCCCGTTTTCTTTTCCAGGCCGCTGCAATGACTGCGATGTTTTTCTTTCCGTGAAAAACGGGTGATGAAAAAAATATACGGCTTTGTATCTAGGTTTTCCAGTAGCGCCCTTTCTCTCCCCTTTGTTGGTTGGGGGTTTGGGGTTCCCCTACTAAAATGGACTACAGAAAAGAAAAGTACCCTTGTTCTAACCTCTCTACTGGAGGACCTAGTTGCTTTGGTTCCGTTCTTTTCCAGGTCCACGTTCAGTGGGGGCTAGAAAAGACTGCAATTTCTTTGCTTGTTTCATTTGTTTCTGTTGTGTACGTTTGTTTTGTGATTGTTAGTTCTGTTGACTAGTTTTTTTAGTGTTGCTATTTTTTGGCCTTTCTCTGGATTTCTGCGTGTTACTTGGGAAGCCCCGTTTTGGGGCTTGTTTTAACTCAACACAACAGCAATAAAGTAGTTTTGGGGGGTTCCGGAAGCAATTTGACGATAAACCAACATGCCTTAAGTGGTGACCCTTTGCTGGACATCACTCTACACGGGTATGTTTATATATGCCTTTATGTCCACCAACATGTGCTGCAGGTGTTCCTCTTTCGTGGCCATGTGGGCGTTGAGGTTCAGCTATCCCACCGAAATGGCCCTTGGCTGAAGGCAAAGGATGCCTTTCACGGGACAGATGTGGCTGTGGGTCAAACATAGGTGCCCAAAATGGAACCCTCGTAAATGGAAACATGCACTAAAACCTGCGGTCCCAAGGTGGTTTAATTTTGACCCATACCCATGTCATCCTGCACGCTGTCATCATCAAAGCCTAGCTCAAAGGCTGAACAATGGCGGCTGATTTGAGCAGCTCCTGACTTTTGTGTTGCCCATGTTTGCAGTTGTTTGTCGCGGCTGAGCTGGCATGGGCATTTGTCAACGCAAGCGACCGGGACCTTCCTTTAACTCCTTTTTGCGGATGTGGATTGTCAAAGATGGTCATCACGAGGCCCCCCCGCATTGCGGCGGGGAGGCGGGGGGGGCAGTTTGTCTGAGTTTCACTCGCACGTCAGGTACTTCACAGACTGGAGCGACCCGGAGGATTCGCAGATGGACCGCTGTGAAACGCCCATCGATTGGCCCGAGCTGCAGAGGATGCGCGAAGAGGCATGGAAAACCACGTGACGGACTTCTCTCGGGGTTTGCTTATTAAGTGAAGTTCTTCTCAAAATGCAGAATTTGATCCGGACCCCCTTTTTACTGGGGTAGACTTGGAATACATTTTACATTTTACCAGTGACTCAAAGGGAAGCAAACATAGAATATACATTCTATAACCGGGCCTAAGTCTAATCCTGTTTAGTTGGTATTTAAAGAAAACCAAAGGGAACAGTTTGGGGGAATCCCAAGCAAAGATGCCAGTGGACTTGCAAGCAAATTGTCGCATTCTTGGATGGCCTTCAGGGAAATGAGGCCACCAGAACCGGCGCAGCGGGGCGGGGACCCCTGTTTGGCCCTATTTCGCGCAGCGTGTCTGTGGCTGCGCGCTCAGGGTCAGTTTGAGAACTACCTGCGGGAGGAGTGTTCCCGACGGCACCCAGAGCTTTGCTGACACTGCTGAAGGGCGCCGAGTTGACGTCTGTCAAAGGCGACCAAACCAAAGGTTGAACTGTTTCATCGCCCGCAAGGCAGATGGTTGAATGCATGGTGGGCAACGCCGAACAAACAGATGTGAGAAATCATGAGTGGGTTCTGCTACGGCTTACTGAGCATGATATTGTGGACCTGCAAATGCACTGGGGGTTGATGAATATTCCTGGCCCCCTTAACTGACAATGGGCAACTTTGCCATTTAGTGGGAAATATCAAATTTGCTTCGGGGTTGGCCCATTTGGGTCATCCCAAATGAACCTTGTGATCAACGGGTCCCCGCATGTTTTGTTTGGGGCAGAGCCCGGCGGTGCATGAAATCCACCAGAGATCTGCCGGGCCTTCGCTCGGCAGATCCGCTGGAGCCGCGCCGCGCGGCCGAAAAAGGCCGAAAAACCTCCGCGCGGGAGGCTCGGATCTCTGCATGTTGGCCGGTGGCGATTCAAAGGGCGGGAAGTCCCAGTCCTGGTGGTTGTACACAAAGAGATGGGTATGGGTCAAAATTAAGCCACCTGGATATGGACCGCAGATTGTAGTCCATGTTTCCATTTACCGATCGGGCAACCCGTTGTGGGGTTAGCCATGTTAGCCTATTTTTGACAACCACAGCGAGATGTGTAACTTGCTTCTGGTACAAGTAATGGGTTTGTGAGTTGAAACACTTTTTGGTCCACAAACTTGGCCGCCGGCTTCTGCCTTCACCCTGGCATGGGCTCTTAGGCTTCAAGCTGACCTGGCATGCGGCTTCCACCTAGGGAGATCCCCCGCCATGGCAGCAACTGAGGTGTGGACTTTGGGGCTTTCACGGAGGTGCTTCGATCTCGATCGCTTTTGCCTTCCGCGGCTGTCTGCTACATTGAGACTTGCAAACTTATAAGTTCAGCACCCGGGCAACACCAGGACAGCAAGCCAAGTCTCATTTGGTGAGCATGGAAACTGACTGCTGCAAAGCCTGAAGCGAACTCAGTGTATCCGAAATGGGGACCCCTTCTAGGCTGGTTGTTTTAAAGGGAAACAAGAGCAACTCACTCCGAAATCGAGGGTTCCTAATTTGTGACACCCCCAGTTTACACAGTCTGTACCCTGGCAAGCAATTGTGTGAGCGCGTAATTGCTAAACATTTAATCTTTTTGCTCTCCTTCCAACGTCAACCAAGAAATTGTTGTTTGCTTTGAGGTGAGGCGTTCTGAAAGGAGTTCCCAAGAAAGCTGCAACAAAGCCTGTCCCGAATGGGCCGTGTTTCTTTTTCAACCCCCAGGGGACCAGGTGAACATGAGCAGATAGGAGGCTTAGGCTTGTGCTCAGCAGGGAGTGAGGGAATGACATTTCAATAACCATCCCTTGTGGTGTCCTTTCTTCGGGAATCCCCAAAGCCTGTTCATGCCCACATTCCCTACCTATCGCCAAGGGGCCGACTTTGAGTGCCTACGTCCCCCAGTAGTGCCTTTTCTCAATCCTTTTTTGGTTGGGAGGGTTCTACTAAAATTTCGACTCCAGAAAAAGATCGGGTACCAAGTTCTTCTAACCTCTCTTCTGGAGGACCTAGTTGCGGTAGATGCCTTTTCGGTGGCGCCTCTTGCTGCTGGCGGCATGCCATGGGTGTCCAGAAGGCCCGGAGGCCAAGGAGCCGGACGAAAAAACGCCGTTGCCGTGGTCCATCTTGGCATTGCGCCAAAACCGGCACCCGTAAAATGCGAGGTTTACCTTCCTCACTTGAGTTCATGAACTTTAAACTTTGTCCGGAAGACAATTTTAGTGGTAAATCTAAAGTTTTGACTTTTTTTGGGGCCATCCACTCAGCAAGTGAGCTTGATCTACCAACCAAAGGTTGCCCACGATTTCGAGAAACTGCCCATTTGTGAAGTTAAGATTCTGAAGATGCAAAACATGTTACGGATTTGGTCTGGCAATATCGCAGATCGGTGGTCTTGGAACCTCTCATCTCCACTCTCGGGAAACAAATAGACGGTGCATATGACCTGAATAAATGATGGGTCCCAATAGTCCAGGTAGTGGCTTTCAGGTCTACACTCTTTCCAAATGGAAGCTGGCAGGTTTTGGAAGACCAGCGTCCTCTTGAGAAGACCTCCAGTTCCATGTTGGGAAGACTTGCTGGTTCGATAGGCAAATGAGAAACGGAATGACTCGGATTTGAACCATCCCCTGTGGTTTCCTATTCAGGGAATGCGCAAAACCGGTTCCGTCCCAAACCCCGGGTACTTGTCATTCCCTACCTATCGCACCACGGTATTGATTGAGCAGACAAGGTGAGGGTATTGCCTGAGGGTCTTGTTTCATTTTTATCTCAAAACGCCTTAAACCGTCCATTTGGTTGAATATTTATTGTTTTTCCCCTGCTGGCTTTAAAGGGAATCTATCACTACTGGAATCATGCTTATTTTTTTCCAGGGGACTTAAGCAAACGGAGGAAAATGTGACACCCCCCCCCCAATGGTAAGTGGATTTGGCCAGGGCCAACCCGTCACGTGATTACCTGTTTCCAGGTCCTGCCAAGTGAAGATTCGTTCTGCCTGCAGAACTTGACGACTTTTACCTAGGCCGTGTCAAGCAGTCCAGCATCTAATTTCTAAGTTCCTTTGCAGTTCATTTGCTTGAGTGAATGCTCTTGGAGTCCCGCGAAAAGGAAAAAGTGAATGGCGAAAAGTCGACGCCAGGAGTGCCTGCGTCGGGAGCTGAGCGGTGAAGCCCGCCCCCGCCTTCGCTGCCGCAAGCTGCGGAAGCCGCCCAAGGAGAAACCAAGTCGTCGATTGGAGGGTTGTTAAAAGGAATTCAGCACTACTGGACATTTTTTTCCCCCATGACGTCAATCAGTTGCCCCATGACAAAGCTTTGGCGCATTTTGCCAAGGGATGTTAGGCTTTAACTTTTTGCCAACTCATCGGCTTTCCGTATTAAACCCACTAAAAGTTAAAAACTTTTAGCAGGGGAGCAGAAAGCGAGCGTGCCCTCTCTTTTCCACTGGCTGAAATGAATACGTGAAATTTGCCCCTGGTTTGAGCAAGGGGAATCGATTTCACCTCTCACTACTGGAAATATGTTCTCATTTTTTCCTGGGGACACAACGAAAGCACAACACACACACACACACACACACCATGGTTGTTGTTGGGAAACATTTACATTTTTGCTTATTGTGGTTTAGTGGTTGAAATCCAACCACTTAACTGCCAAAAATTGAAGCTTTTTGCTCCCCTTCCAACGTCAACCAAGTATTCCTGCCCGAGTAGATGTCCTCCCCACCCCCGTCTCAGCTTGCAGAGGGGATAAATACCTTTTCCTTGTTTCCATTTACCGATCGGGCAACCGAATTTGTGGTTAGCCTATTTTTGACTCACAGCCACATGTTCCTTCCATCCGATGAGAGGACTTCGACGCCTTCTTCTCTCAGGTGCTGAGCCAGGGCCAACCAGTGATCTTGGAAAACGCCGCTGGGTGGCATGACAGGTCGTGACTCCGTTTTTTCCTGTATCTCACTTCCTGAAAACCCTTGCTTTTTGGGAAAAGCAAATTTTGGCTCACTTTGTGAGTTCCTGGACTTCAGTCACTTGTTGGGAAGATCAAATTTTGGTAGTAAATAGAACATTTGGACTCTTTGGGCCATGATAACCAAACGAACCAATTTTTACTGTCCAAAAGGACACATGATACTTTCGTACTGCTAGCTGGATCCGCTTTTTGGTGTTCTCAAATGCTTTGGACCCAAGCTTTATGCTGAAGGCAAACCCAAACGGAACCAACCGGTTGAGAAATTGGACAACTCCTTTGAGAAACCCCCAATGTAAGCCCTGTCCTTTTCAACTGCTTCCACTTCCAGGCTTTTTTGGAAAATGCTACTTCCCAGCTGAAGTCAACAATGTGTGTTGAGGTTTTGGGCCGATGCAAACATTCGGAGAGAACAGGGCATGGTGATGCCGTAGCGCGTGGATCGTGGATCATTGTTTGCATTGCTGCGCAGTGGTACTGTGGATGGACGAATTCCTGCACCACCCAAGAATCCCTGAAATGATGATTCCCCTGTAAATACCAACAAACAATGGCTTCTCATGGTTTCAACGTGGTGCGATCGGATTTTGTCCTTCCACAGTATGTATTAAACTTGCCAACGTTGCCACTTGATCATCCGGATGTGGGGCGGTTTGTTGGCAATCTGTGGTCTATATCTTTTGCTTGTGCCTCGGGTCCGCTTAAGCATGAACCAATCATTTGGATAGGCCCCAGCGCCCCAGCTTCACGCCCGCCGTAGCCTTTTGAAGTCGGTGCCTGACATGTTTCTGTTCAGATTGGGTGGCGGCCTACAGATCTCAGGGTTGAGTGAATCCCCAATTGCTTGCTCTTCTTTTCCAAAGTCGTCCACGCTCCTCGGGTTGTGTGCCATCTCGATGGAACTAGAGGTTGAGAAAAAGAAAAACAAACAAAAGCGAAAAACATGCATGGCAATATTTGTCGTTCAGAACCCCCCCCTTTAATTTTATCCACGCACAAACAAATGATAAACAACAAACAAAAACATGAAACAAAACAGGAAAAGCACATCTATTCCCCCCCCCCCCAAAAAAAAAAGAAAAGAAGAAGAACAAACATGGGGAGAGTGACAGGGCACGTGTTCCCCTTTGTTCCCCCCCAAAAAATAGCTTCCTCTCAGAACGACGCCATCAGGCCAGCGCCATCTTCGGCCAGGAGGTTCAGAGATGGATGACGCTTGACACCTGGGCTGGGTCCAGCAATTGCCCGACCTCTCACCGATTCCTTTCTTGGATTCACCCAACTTTTTGGGTTGGGGTTTTGGGTTCCCCTACGACTTTGGGAGGGTTTCACCCCTTTTTTGGGTCGGTTCGGTTTGGAATCACAGGGAGCGCCTCAAAAGACTGGGTCCCCCGGTGCCCCAGTAGTGCCCTTTGACCAACTTTCTTGGGGGAGGGTTGCCCCTACTGGAATAGACAGAACAGAAAAAAAGTTGGCACCAACTTCTTCGAACCTCTCTACTGGAGGACCTAGTGGGTGTTTCGCAAAATGCCCTCCCTCCCATGGAGATGGGTCCAACAGGTGGCTTCTGTCGGGAAAGTAGTCCCAGTTGCCCAGTGGATTCCGCCCTTTTTTCATTTTTTTGGGGAGGGGTTCCCTTGAAACTCAACCGACCAAAAAGATATTCCCTTTTTTCCCCTGGCCACTGGACATCTGAGTAGTCCTTCAAAGCCCTCCTGTCAGGTGGAAAGAGGGTGAGGGTCTCGTCTTTTGAGATTTGAGTGAGGAAACCAAAGGGAACCCCACCTCAAGGAATGCCTCATTCTGAGAACCCACCTCCTCTCAGAACATCGTTTTCCGACATTAGTCCGGGCTGCGGACATACTCTCCGAGTGCCAGATTCGAAGGTTGCCGCAGTGTCTGACTCTGACAAGTCACAACGAAGCAACGACTTTTGCATTAACGCTTTAAGCTAGGTCCCCCAGTGGTGCCCTTGCTCACCCCTTTTTTGGTTGGGAGGGTTCCCCTACGAAAAGGGACTGCTTGAAAAAAAGGAAACGGTACCAACATATTCGAACCTCTCTACTGGAGGACCTAGTAAGTGCCTACTCCAAAGGCCCTTGGCGGGCGTCCCAGGAATACGGCTCTCGTGAGCCGTAGCTGTGATGGCGTTCGCAAATTCCGAGGAAGGACCATCTAGTTTTTCAGAAGGCCACCTCTGCAAATACTCTCTATTTTGGTGTATCAATGTTCCCTTCCCAGATTTCGCTGCGAGCAGAGGCGGCTTTGGCGGTTGAGCCAAGAAGTTCTCGACAGCCAAGGAATATCTCTTACTTTGTGGAGAAGTTCGGCCAGCTCAGGCGGGGAGAATCTGAATGGTTACACCAGAGGAATCAAACTGGGACCTGCCGACTTGCAACCCGCGGCCCTTCGACTCGCCATTTGTAGGAATCAATGAAGCCGCTCCGCCTTTCTGCTTGCAAGATCTTGCAAGTAGCCCCAGAGGAATTCGTTTTCGAACAGCATGTGGCGCGGATTGAGCAGAAGAAGATGTCCGGAGAGCAACCCTTTAAGACTGATGCCTAGGGCGGCCCTGTGGTCGGAAATGCCATTCGTGGCTTCAATGAAACGCGTTAACCTAAACGTAGCTATAGTGATGCCGGCCTGCAGCCTGCGGCCCATTTCAGAAAGAGCAAGTCCACAGCGAAGCATTTGCTTGACACGGGCGCCGATTTCCTTGTGTGTGTGTGTGTATGTGTCAAACCTGGGATTTATGGGGATGGTGTTTTAACTATTTAGCCATCCTCATGACCTGTTTTGTGGTGAAGCAGCCCTTTCAGTGGAAGCAGTCAGTGCCTCGCACTGTCTTCGGAGATAGAACATTCATAGGACCTGTTTTTGGCAGCTTCCCCTTTTTCATTTTTGCTCCATGCCATATATAATGTCCAGCCCAATTTAGGTCAAACAGAGAACCCGTGTCTTTTTTCAGCCATTCAAGTAACCCTTGCTTGGTGATGTGGATTGGCGGTTTGGGCATTTACCCCTGGCTTTTGTAGAGGGTAGGTGGGACGTCCCTCCACCAAACCACCAAACCACCAAACCAAACCAAAACCAGCCCAGAAAAACCGCCCTACCCCATGGCCCTGAAGGCCCTGTGCTGCACCGGGTCCTGGGGGTTGGATTTGGGGAAGCTGATCCAGCGGACAGCAGGGTGGGGCCACCCATTGGTTGAAACATGTTTAAAGCACTGGTTATGATGATTATTCCCTTGTAAAGGTGGTGTTTGAACCACATTTTGCCCCACCAATCCACCAAACCACCAAGCCACCAAACCACCAAACCACCAGACCAAGCCACCAAACCCAGGGGTGAAGCTGATCCACGGGACAGGTTCCGGACCTCCTTCTTCAACGCGGCAAAGAACCGCACCGGCCAGGGCTTTCGCACCTCTGCGGGCGAGGGCGCCGCTCGACTCGGCTCGGCGGACGGTTTTTTGGCGCAGCTCGTGTTACGGCGGGGTTGGGGGCTGGACGCGCGTCCTCCATTTACTCGAGATGGTTCTTTTCTAGGTCCCCCAGTGGTGCCCTTTCTCACCAACTTTTTTGGGGGAGAAGCTCCCCTACTAAAATAGAATACAGAAAAAAGGGTACCCTTATTCTAACCTCTCTACTGGAGGACCTAGTTGAGATGGTTCTTGTATTTTCCCTTGTTGGCTTCAAAGGGAATCCATCGGTACTGCATTTGTTTTCTCAGGTTGTTTGTTCTTTTTCTTTTCTTTTTTTTTCTGGGGGCCTTTAGCAAATGGAAGACAGTGGTTCCCTTTGTCCAATGGGTGTTCACCGCTTTGAGATAGCTGGACGGGGGTCTGTAGGGATGGCTGTGAAAGGAAAGTGGATGCTTGCTTCTGAGATCGTACCGAGCTGTTTGTCCAACAAAGCCCTCGACTCGGGTCCAGTAGAATGGCAATCATCGTCAAGCCATGGTTCTGGGGTGTTTTTCTCAATTTGCGTCTTGCTTGCAAGAGTGTGCTAACCATCTTTAGAGAAACTTTCAGCTTCGATCCACAGGATGGCCTTAGCAAGGTCATTTCAAACAGTCCCTCGGCAGGTGCTGAGGGTCATTGAGGGTCCTTCGAATGTCATTCCTCTGCCTGTGGCTCATTCTCTGTTGGTTTCCTTTCGGGGAAATTGACAAATATGGGCTATGTAGCACCTAGTAGATTGCTCACCCAGCAAGCGGCGAAATTCACTTGCAGGCATGCGGCATGGGTGCTCTTCTTTCTTTGTCTCTGCGCATTCATTCAATGTATCGACATGAACTCCAACGAGGTATATTCTTGATGTTTGAAGGCTGTCAGGTCGTTCAAAAAAACAATGTGCAAATGGGAGCCTACAGAAACGCCCCAGATATTGAATTGGAGCATTGGTCCACACCGTTGAATTACAATATGGCCATGGGTCAAAACCAATGGTACCATTTTGGGGTAGGTGAATTCACCACCCATTTTAGTCTATTTTAGATTGGGATGTTCACTGGGGGTACAGGGTTTTGACCCACAGCCTTATGGGCTTGTCCAAAAGCACAGTTCGCTTGGCCAGGGCGGCCAGGCAACACCACGAAACTCAAACCGAGTTGCCATAGCGCAGCTTTTGCCTCCCACGGAAATGGGGATGCTGGGAGCACTGGGGTTGCTGGTCTCAACTATAAGTGCAAGACGCCACGTCATTTCCTGACGTGGTTGTGGGTAGACCTGTCAATTGCGGGTATTAATTGTGGCTCAATTCGCACTCAGGGCAACACCTTCAGCGTTATTAATTCATCTCGAAGAAAATTCCCTTAAAAATGAGTTTGACCCCCCAAAATGATGGGGTGATGTCCCATGTTTATGGGTAGTTTGAGGGTCCAGGTCTCAGAATTCAGTACTCCGCAGATTGTATTCTCTTGTCGTCTCAGAATTCAGGACGTACGGAGCAGCGATCTCAAACAACAAAAGCCGGCGGTCCCAATTGTCGCCGCGGTCGCATTCCGAAACCCAGGTGGATCGCTTTGGGCTCACACCCATCAACGGAGGCCGCGCGCAACGCGCGCTTCGTTTTGCTTCTTGCAACCCAAAGGTATTGATTGGTCTAGGTTCGAGTCAGTCCTGCATTTCATCCCTCACAACAAACACGAGGGGAAGGATGTGTACTTGCCAGGCAGCCCATTTACCCACTGCGCAATTGAGACAATATGTCAACTGAACAGGTCGAGAGGTCAAGCTTTGAATCTTGCAAGCCAGGCACCTTGCTCCTTGATAGAGGACGGCAGTTCTAGTTTGCCCGTTTCCTCACCCTGTGCTGCAGGTCATGTTTGCAACAATCGCACCTGGCATATGGGAATGAGTCGGAACTAGAGACTCCGGCACACAGGGCCCCTAGTGTTGACATGTTAGCATCTTCGCACTATTCGATATGTGATGTAAATCCATCTGGAATCGAATCAGGCCTCGCCGCATGGCGGTGCCCTCAAGTGGCCGGCTTTGCAATGCGCAAGGGCCGGACCCTGTTGTTTTCTTCTGTTACTGTGAAGCGCATCCAAGTCCACAGTTACCAGGTTAGAGCTGCTTGTCTCGATTGTTTGCTCCTCCCGGGATTTTAATGGCACCACACAAGAAGAGTTCAGCGGAAGGACTGGTTTGCTTGCCAAAACGACTACACCTGGCCTGGCTGATTTCCCTTTTGAGGTGGGGGAAGCGTCAGATCCCTCTTGACCAAAGGCAAAGCGCACCTGTGAGGAAAAGGTCTGCTCTTCCCGCACGTTGGGCAAATGGACCTCGCAGGCACATCTACGGCGAATGTCAGGGTTCAAGATTTGGGACGTGGCTCTGACGATTGGTGGGTGGATGTCTTTTGAGGGGTCGATTTACGCGAGAGTCTTGACAGGAATACTGGAATGGACCCAGGAACACTGCACTCCTCGGAAAATAAGATATGGTTCTGCTTGTTTTCGTCAGTGAACATGCACTCACGATGCCTATGCAGGATTAGTTCCTGGGACCTGCCATAGATGGCGGTTTCCAAGCCCGTCCCGATTTTCTTGCAGGTGTTGGTGGACTATGGCCAAAAAAAGAAGAAAGCATATTTGTTTCATGGCTGAGACCCGGCAACCTGGCAGCTCGGCTGAGTGGATGTGTCCAAAGCGCCAGGCGTGCTCAGCAATCGAGACCCTGCGCGCATGATGTTCGTGGAGGAGGGCAAGCTCTTTGCCGAGGAGGAGGGCCGCAGGTATGCAGGAAGCTCAGGGAGAGGGTTTGTGCTGGTCACCGATTCAGGGAACAGGTGTTTGTTTCTTTTTTACGAGCCCCGGCTTGGAGCTTAGCCCCGGCCGGGTGACTGGATGGTTTGTTGGTTGGTCAGTCGGTCGGTTGGTTGGGCGGCCGCATCCCCAGCATCCCCAGCATGACTGGCATCGCTCGGGCTAAGGTGCCTATTGGCTTTGATTTGTTGGCAGTTCAGAGTTGCTCCGGGCTGGTTTCGGGCGATTGTTGGGCTTGCTGAGGTCTTATACAAGGCGGGTCTTGGTTTTGTTTGGGGTTCATTTAGGCTTTGCAAAGGGCTGATATCCAGGATGCTGTTGGGAGGGTTTAAGCACCCTCATTTTATAAGACCTTAGCAAGCAGCAAGCCCAATACCCAAAGCAAAACCACCGTGCAATGCTGGTGATGCTGGGGGTGCTGGGGATGCGGCCCACGAACCCAACCCCAACCTGGCCAACTAGGCCCAGAGAATACCGCCTGTTGCATCCAACCTGAGAGCGAAGCAAGGGTTCCCCACCTCGGCAGAGCCACATGGGGGAGGCCTTGTGCTGAGCCGGGGCTAGTAAAAAGCCGGGGCTAGAAAAAAAAGCCGATTCAGAGCCTTGAGCCATGGCAACCATGTGACTATGAGGTCATTAAAGACCAAGGGCCACAACCCTTCCTGGCTCCCTTTGCTATGGCTCCGTCGGAGTCCGGGCATCAGTGTATGAGCATCGCTACAAGCCAACGGTCATCAACTCCGCCGTTGTCGGTTGACACCTTGGTCTTGAGCAACGACTGACTTGACAATGGTATAAAGGTGGTGCAGCAGTGCAGCCGGGAACGTGTTAGTACGTTTCATTTAGTGACGGCTTTGGAGACGGGACATGGCCATAAGCGGTAAATGTGCTTGTCGTGTAGCGCCTTAGGCAAATGGAAGACAAGTTTGAAGCGCGTGCGTTCCACACTTGATGGCCTGCCTGCCTTCATCTCGGTTTGGGTTTTACCGTGGACAACACTCGTGGAGCTGCTCAGTGCAAAGCAAAACCTTTGAGCAACAATCAAAACCGGGGTAAGTGAATGTTAATGGAACGTCACAGCCAGACTTAGTTGCGTCCGCCTTTGTGGTTCTTTACATTGGTTTGGGTACACCATTTTAGTACCAGGTTTTGATTGTGACTCATTTAACCGTTTGGAGCTCGGTGGATGCGAGGTGAATTACCCCGAGCTCCTGGATCACTGGACCAAGCCTCCGTTTCTTGGCCCCTTGCAGCCTGCAGAGGCGGGGTTGAGGGCGGGCCTGGCATCCGCATGTCACATTGGGCGCCGCCTCTTGGATGCTGACAGCTACTTGGCAGCCCTGCCATATTGCAAGTAGGGCAGCCAGGAACCCTCTAATTTACCACCATTGTCCATGATTTTGTGGTTTATGGTGTGGTTGGTGCACTTATGCTTTTAGCCTTTCACCCAAGAGATTCCTTGCGGAAACGTGAAAGCTGGTCGGCGGTAACTTGATGCGTCAACCTGGTGACGCTCAAATCATGAGGTGCACTTCCCGTTCAAATTGTGCATGTGTTTGCTGTGCAAAGTGGATGGTTAGGGAGTCTCGAACAAGGGCCTGGACCAATACCACAATACGTGTGGTTGTTTTGCGCGAGTGTTGGTCTTAAAAAGGGCCCAACGAATGTGGCTTTTGTTTGTGGCTCTTGAGCTCACGGAACCCCGGCTGAAGCAATTCCTCTACAACGGACCCACAATGTTTGAGGCCAACCGAATCACGGCGAACCGGAACTTAGCCCGTAGCTTCAAAAGTTGGCTCGGTGGCATGACGGTCTAGTCTAAAGAGGTCTTGTGCCAACGCAGTGCATTTGCCTGACTCTCTGAGTTCGTTTCGGACTTTAGTCACTTTTGGGTTTAGACCACTAAGCTGCCAAGCAAAAAGTTCGGATACTTTCTTGCCGTGCCAGCGCAGGAAGCGAGTTGCAATGGTCCGTATCCTCATCAACCTCTTCTGTAGCAACCAACAATTAGCAGAAGGTGCCTTGGCAGCTTTCTTTTGTGCAACTCTTCCTGGCACCTCCTTAAGTGGTTGGTGTTACATGGGTCATCAACGCATCCCCAGAAAGCACGTTTTGGGGGGAAGCCCCACTTCCAGTCCCCGCCTTTCCACCAACCCCCCGGGCCCCACACCCCCCGCCCAAGCCCGCGCCAGGTGAATTTGTGGGCGGGCGGCGTCCTGGCAGATCGGCCCAAGGAGAGCCCGCTGCATCATGACCCCTTCGACGCTCGGCGAACAAATCAGATCCAGGACTCAGGACCCGAGTCTTGGTCCAAGGTGCCCGACCTCTCAGCGCGTCCTTTTTTGGATGGGAGGGGGAACCCCCCACAAAAAATAGACTCCAGAACAAAGGTGGTATCCAAGACACTAGCCTCTCTACTGGAGGACCTGGTTGGCGTGGCCTTGGGCTCCGGATTTTTCTGGGTCCCCTGAGTCCCCTGAAGAACGAAGCATAGGGGTTTTCAGTCCCTGAAGGACCAGCCTGGGGTGTTCGGAGCCTTTTTTCTTCCCAGCCTCGGCGTTGGGCCAACGGGGTCCCTGAAGTGGTTGCAACCGGAGGATTGGCCATGGGCCACTGCGAAACCGGTCTTGCGACCTCCACTTGGGGCTCCTTTGATGATTTGCTCAGAGGGAAGAACAGCCATCTATGTGGGTGTCCTTTTGATCGGTTTGACCAAAAATAGGTGGGTTTAATTCCATTTACCACGGCCATCTATTTTTACGGACTGCTGGTCCGAGTGCCTGTTTGGCTTAGATGTGCCTGCAAAGTGGAGCTGACCTAAGGATTAAAAAATCTTGTTGAGCGCTCATTCCAAGGAATCCGCTATGGTAGACTGGGGCGGCACTTTTTTGGGGGCAGGATCTGTGGATGTTTGTACAGGGCTCCTTAAAATATACATTTTGCAACCATTTGAAACATGCTGCTTTTTCAACACCAAAATAAAGAAAGGAAAACCACCATTTACAAGTTGCAATGTTCAGGTGTTTTTCATGCATCCGGATCCCTGTTGTACTTGCCGGCCTGGATTGTTTGAATGTAGAAACAGACCATCTCTCACTTGCCCAAAGCGAATCGACCTTTTGAGCTTTTGGTTTCCCCTTTGGTCCATTAGTAAAGGTCCCAAAAGGTTAACCTTTTATTTCCAGGTCCTTTGGGCAAGTGAGGACTATGTCAAAGCACGGTGAGTTCAAGAGAGGGGATTTTTGGTCGGAAGCTTCCTTTTCGGGATCGTTCACAAAACCGGTGCTCCCTCCCCCCACACCTCCAAGAAAAGGGAGCCTTGGCAATTAGTGGAAGAAGTTGAGGGGATCAATCATAGGTGCCCTTTTTAGGTTAGTTTAGTTAGGCCACCTATGGGATCAATCATCTCGCTGCATTGCAGATCTGTTGAGGCCGGTCCCGACACCCAGGCTTGCCAAGGGCTCAGCGATGAACTGGGATAGCCCTGGTCCCTGGATGCCTATCCCGCATACTGTTGGGCTCCTAGAGGTATCGGCCAAGAGGGTTTTGTGTGCAAATGGCTTGGTTCACCCGGAAGATCCACAAGAGGTATTTCAAAGTAGGCAAGGACAATTTTAGGGATGTCTATTTCAGGACACACCTATGCCTATGAAGCGATCAATGATTTGTCTCTTGGTCCTTGAGGACGCAATAAAGTTCTCATTCGCCTCCGTTTGACTGGAGTCCGTGTCACTTTTTGAGTTCCAGGACTGGATCGTTTTAGTTGGGGACTGGGGTGAAAATCAAACCACCAGGATATGGACCGCAGGATTTGGTCCATGTCTCCATATACCGATCGGGCAAGCCATTTTGGGCTTGGCCTATTTTCGACCACCGCAGCCAGTTGCAAGGCAACGGGTTTTTTTCTTTTCCCGCCGATCTCGGGAAGTGAGCCTTGCTTGATTCACTCCTCAAGTGGCATTCCCTCCAGCCCAGTTCTTCCGGGACACACTGCCCTCACAGCAGTCCGCTTTGAGAAATATGCCGCTGGTGCCAAATGATCCAAAAGTAGAATATCTCTCCAACCGCCTTATTTCCGGCTGGTGAAAAATAGTATAATTCACCTACATATTTTGCGGCTGGCCCAGGAAAATATCATGCTGCAGCTGGCGGGGCGCAAGACCTTCATTATGGCGACCGGTCAAGGAAAGAACATATAGCTGTAAGTCAAAAATAGGTACCCAAAATGGAACCCTGCTCAATGGAAACAAAGACCAACATATGCTGTCTTCTGGTGATTCAGTTTTGACCCATACCATATGGGCTTGTTTGTTTTGTTGTTGCTTCTGTTTTGTTTTTGTTTTTTTTTGGGGGGCCTTGTTTGGGTTCGTGTTTAAAGCAGGCCAAAAGGAAGCCGCATGCTTCGGGGGTCCCTGCTTTGGCGGCAGAGATCGTTTCGCGGGGCTGTCGGACCGTCAGTTGAAGTTTCTGGGGTTGTTTCCCTTGAGTCCAAGTGCCGAAGTTTTTCCTTTGCCGAAGGGAAAGATTTAGCAAATTTAGTGCCAACCTTTAAGAAGATGAGCTTTTCAACTGCCGAAGTAGTTTCTCGGTCGTTCTGCACGTCCCTTTGGCGACATATCAACAGGCCAGCCCCGCGGCCTTGCTCAGGGGTCAAATCGGGGACGGTGGGCTTGCCATCCGCCAGATGTGAGCTTCGCTTGAGAATTCACGTAGGTCTGTGGTCAATTTGGGATGAGCATAGGGAAGTGCTCATGTTTTCCGGAAGAACAGAGGGGACTCTAAGTGGGAACCAGGCAAACAATCCAACCAAATGCATGACAGGCCCTGGCTCCTAGGTCTTCTGGTAACCTACCGGTAGGAGTCGCCTATGAGTTCTGACATCTACCTCAGCAAGATGGCGTTTGCTTTTCATGTTTCATTCATCCACTCAAAGCACCAGTTGATCCACTCAATACGCCAATCGAATCCATCCACGACTCTTCCACCCCACGCGCGCTGTTTTTTCTCCAAGTGGCACCGCTCATGATGGCTCCGAACCCACGCACTGAGGTCTCAGCTGTGGACACCCCCAAGCTGTACCCCAGCCTCATGCAGGCAAGGGTCAATGGGTCCATCTTTTTGGGTGGCACACCTTGTTTGCCGGCTTTGAGGGGAGACGAAAAGGACACCCGCCCTTTTATCTATATATTTTGTGATAGGGGGGGAAACAACAAAAACAAATCCCGCCCCTATTTTCCCTTCTTTTTTCAAGAGGGTCCCCTCAAAGGACGAGCCACCCACGTTCTTCAAACATCTCGAACCACGGGCGAGCCAGCGCCAGGGTTTCCGAGCGCCGGCGCCAGAGGACTTGCACACGCAGGCCAGCTGACGGTCAGGTGGACCCTGAAAGAGCAGTGAAGCAACTTTCGGCAACAGCAACCAAGGCCTATTGGTTTCATCCATTTTGTTTGCCCCCAAAAAAGCTTCCATTGGCTGAATGACGATTTGTTCTATTGCCCCCCTGGTTTTGAAGGGAATCGATTTCTCTATTGGGAATATGTTCTCCTTTTTTCTAGGGGACTTAGGCAAATGGAGGTATTTGCTTCCCAGACAGGTGACTTGCCTCAGCTTGGGCCCAAGATGTGCCTTCCCGCGGTTGATGGCAGGAGTTGCCTCGGAGTTTGTTCAATTGCCAGCTTTCACTGATGGAAAAAGCATGAGTCGAAGGCCCAAGTCTGGAAGCGACCCTTTGGCCTGAGCTAGAGATTTTCGGCATCGAGGGCTTCGCCTTCGGCCCTTTGTGAGGTGTGCTGCACATTTGAGTTTTGCCGCAAGGGTCTTTGTCTTTGCGACTCGCTTAGAGCAACTAAGTGCACAGCGCTTTCTTGTTAGGGGGGGGCCACATGGGTGGCCATTGTCAGTTCAAGCAATAGAAAGTGAGTTGAAGGCAGAGCTGATGCTGGCCCTAGCCACAGCGGAGGATGCCTCAAAGTTGCTCTTGGACTCTTGGACCCTCTTTGGGAGACCCACCATCTCAAGGGTTCTGCCTGCTTTGCCTTGGCGCATTTTGCTTGGATGTTTGGACTTTAACTTTTGGCCAACTAATGGGTTTTCCATTAAACCACTAAAAGTTAAACTTTTAGCAGGGGAGCAGAAAGCAACCGAGTTTAAGCAACAGCCACACAATGTCCCGAGTCTCGAACATGGGCTCGCCAGGTGAAAGCTGTAGATGCAGAGGACCTCATGGACAACTTCAGCACCTCGGCAACATAAGTCAGCTTGAGGCGCCTGTTGTTTTGTTGTTGTTGTCTGTTCCTGGTACAAGGTTCACACGCAAAGGGCCTTGCGAGCACTGCGTGCAATCATTCTTGTACATAGGCTTGGTATTCTTGTTAAGCTTGGTGGTTCTTGTATGCCTTCATGGCTTTCTGGGAACACAAGGCCCATTCGTGGGAGTGCATCTGTTTTGGGTGGTCCCCTATTGGGGTTCTATCAGTCTAGTAGGCCTCCCTTTTTGGTAGTTGGTCCAATTGTGCGGCACCACTGCAAGGGCCCATATGGGTGTGTCTTAAAATAGCGGCCCCAAAAAATGGTGGCTTTTAAGAAAGGGAGGCGTACCCTCCAAAAAGACACCCATATGTTTGACAGTGGTAGGTCCTGTTGACCCCTTGCGCCCGGACTTCAAGCGCTTTCCGGATTTCAAGAAGGCGGGATATCCGTTTGGTCACCGCGTGGACCGCGCTTGTGACTGGAAAACAAACACCTGGCGCAGCAGCTTTGTCGCATCGTGACCTGAAGTTGCTTGAATTTGTGTGGGCGGATGACTGAATACAATTGCACAGTTGGCATATGCGTTTCCAACTGTTCTTCTGTTGAGAGCATCAACACAATACTTGGGTGCTCAAGCAACTTAGTAAGTTATAACCATGGTAAAGGGGGGACTATCTCGTTTATTGCCAGTTGGTTGGATCTTCGGACTTTAACCTTTTAGTTGAAATCAAGGGTCTTTCCATTGGACCCACAGAAAGCTACTCACTTTTTGCAGTGGTGTCGTTGCAGCAACCCATGACCCCAGTTAACTACCCCAGTTATAGCATAAGTTGGTTGAACACTCAAGAGGGATCCATTCCAAGACATCTCCTTGCGGAGTGGATCAACAAATCCCAAAATGGGAGATGCTGAATGTTCCATGGAAATGCCGGGGCAAGACCAGCTCCCAAAGTGTCTGGGTGCCGCTCTATCTCTCCGGACTCCATATGTTTTCTTGGGGCAAAAGGACATGTTGTCAACAAGTGGAGTTTTGCTGTGGAACAATCCACTCAGAAACAGTGGAGAACTTGCTTTGTGCCTGTGAAGAGAGCACTCAAATTTCGTGAGCATGGACGACCAACTGCAATGTTGGCTCAAGACGCATCGGAAAAGGGTGCGGGCTAGTTTTTACCCCAACATAACCGTAGGTTATGAGCCCAAGCCAGCCATGATGCGCAGGCGAAGACAACAACAAGATCTTGTTCGTGAAGGAGAAACCGCCGACCAGGCGCTGGACAGGATGATCCGCGAGCATGGGTCTTCCCGGAGGGCGAGGTCGGAGAACCTGGGGGAGAGGCGCGATCTTTGGAGGATGACAGCCGGTGGGGAGCCGGCGGGTCGGGAACCCGAGGTGTGGACGCTGCCTCCGGGGCTACATCGCGGAGATGAACCTGGTGCAGGAGGGGCGGGAGACCGTGGCCCACCTTTGCCACCTGGAGAGACGGGAATGGAGAGGCCGGGCCAACATCCTGGAGAAGGACAAGCCCGGGGCAGTCGTGATGGGCAAGGTCCGGGACAGCAAGAAGGGCAGGTTCGCGGCCAGGCAACTCATCACAGGTTGGATGAGAATGATGGTGACGGGACGGGAATCCTTGATCCTCGGCGGTATCAAGAGCCTCGCGGAGATCCTGGGTTTCCTGGAGGGCACGATCAAGCCTTTCGTGGAGGCCACGGACGTGGGTTTCCTGGAGGGCATGATCAGGCAGGCCGTGGAGGTCATGGACGGGTTTCCTGGAGGGCATGATCAGGCGGACCATGGAGGCCATGGACGTGGGTTTCCTGGAGGGCACGATCAAGCGGACCATGGAGGCCATGCACGTGGGTTTCCTGGAGGGCACGATCAAGCGGGTCATGGAGGTAAAGGACATGGGTTTTCCGGAGGCCATGATCAGGGCGCTCGTGGAGGCAACGGATCCGGACCTCCTGAAGGGCACGATCAAGGCATTCGGAGAAGTAGCGAACCAGGTCTGCTTGGAGGATTGATGGAAGTCCGACCCAGGCAGTTGGAGCCCTATGCCAATTGGACGCCGCAGAACGACCCCTACGGCAGGAATGGAGGTGGAACACCGGGCCCTGGAGCTGTGAATCCGTTCTGGAGTCCTGAACGAGTGGCCCTTAGTCGGGTGCCACCGGGAGGTGCTTCATCGCAGGAGCGTCGGGAACCTGGCTCTGGGGGAGATCGTGAAGTGGAGGACCTACGGAAAAGGGTTCTTCGAGAAGCGGAGGAGACCTTCGAGCGGGAAGTTATGAGGCTGCAAGCAGCAAGGGCGGGAGACGATGTTTCCTACAAGACGGCGTCGGACGGAGGAGCAACTGGTGGTCCGGTGCCACCGCCTCATCCTGAAGCGGTGAGGAACTTGGCTCATGGATGGGCCACTGAGGATCGACCTCCTCCACCGCCGCCTCCACCGCCTCCGAGACCGACGGAAGGAGGTGGTGAAGCTTCGACGGCCTTTAGACTGTCGGAGGCCCTGAGGAATTTGGAGCTTCCTAGTCTACCCCCGCCCGGAGGTGAGGGATCGTCGCTGCAATTTGGAGATTGGGTGACGGTCATCACCCCGCTGATGTCAGACATTGCGGGATCGGCCAGGCTGTGGTGGGAGCAGGTCCTGCAGAAGGCGGAGCTTACCTACGCGGAGTGGCTTACGGCGACACCGTTGGAGAAGCTCCGGTTGAAGCCCACGCTGGGGGATGTTGAGGCACACAATCACCGGGTTGAGCAAAGGGGATTGTCGATGCTACTGGCGGCTTTGCCGGACCCCATCAGGAGGGAGATCATCTCTGCCCGGATGATGTCTGCGACGGAGATCATGTTCCGGCTTCACCAGGTATATCAACCTGGAGGCACCTCGGAGAGGGGCAACCTGTTGAAGCATCTCACCGACCCGAAGGTGGGGGCTAACCTGTGTGATGCTCTGCAGACCTTGAGACTGTGGAGGAGATGGTTGGCAAGAGCTGAGGAGTTGGATGTGGCGCTTCCGGACGGGCTGGTGCTGATCACGGTCTTGGGAAAGATCGCAGAGGTGGTCGGCAAGACCGGGGCTCAGGCGTCATTTAGAATCTCCTCGGTTCGGCAGGAGCTGCAAATTGATATTCGGCCTCAGATCGGGAAGATCAAGCAGTTCGCGGAGTACCTGCAGGCTGAAGCAGAAGAGCTCTCGCTGACGACAGCGATTAAGGCGGCATCGACTCCGGGAGCAACGGGAACGGGCCCTGCGACCTCTATAGCCTGAAAGCGTTGGCGGCAGCAGGAGCTACGGAGGCGACTCCGGAGGCGTCGGACAACAGGAAGAAGCCCCAAGGCCCTGCTTGTAGGTTTTGGGGAACAGATGGAGGATGCAAGAAGGGGAGCAGCTGCACCTATGCACACTCGTGGGAAGGCCTGGAGAAGACCAACAGATGCTTTGCGTGTTCCGGGATGGGCCACTCAAAGAGGGATTGCCCGGTCAAGAAATCCACGACTTGTGAGCCCTTGGAAGCAGCCGGCTCCAAAGGTGTCCAAGGTCAAGAAGCCAGGAGATGAGAAGGCGCCGACAGAAGGTCAGGCGGCTGGTGGCGAAGGGGCCCGCCTTAGTGGCTCACCGGGCTCCGCGGAGGAGGCGTCCCGGGAGGCTACGGGGTGGAACCCTGGTGCCGCCTCATCGGCTTCGAGATCAACAGGAGAGCAGGCCAGACCGCCCCCTGGAGGGTCGGAAGAAGCCTCAGGTTTGCTGACAGAAGTGGCAGGCCTGCTGAAGTCTTTGAGGTCTATCCGGGCGCTGCAGATCAAGTATGCGGCGGCCGGGAAGGAAGCAGGAAGGAGTGAGGAAAAGGAGCAGGTGGCGTTGTTGGACGGCGGCGCCACCCACGCGCTACGACAAGCTCGACGAGACGAGAGGGACAATCTCACGGCGGTGGAGGTGGAACTGGCTTGCGGGAGTACGGTGCTGTACAAGCATGCCGGAACGTCTGCCATTTTGACGTTGGAGCCGGTGGAGCCCATCATACCACTGAGGATGTTGGTGGACGCTGGATTTGTGGTGAGGTGGAATGCCAAAGGGTGCAGCATTGAGCACCCCATGGAAAGCTGCACTGCTGGCTGCGGTCTGGCTGTCCGGTCATGCGAAGGGCAGAGGCGATGAAGCTGATGGACTTCTTGGATGCCCCGGAGAAGGCGGCTACAGGAACGATGGATGAGGAGCGGTGGCAGCGGTGGTTTCCGAGCATCCCGGATGAGGTTCTGAAGCTCATGGGCCGGGTGGAAGGAGAAGCAGAGGTTGCTGCGCGATGCCCCTTCAATCGGAGATTGAGGAGGAAGTGGGAAACGAGCAAGGGCGTCGTGGTGCATCTTTTCGCTGGCCGTGAGGCCAAGGAATGGCGGAAGGAGGATTGGGGCGGCTATGAGGTCGTCACGATAGAGGAGGACGTCAGGCAGAATCTTCATGACGGTGCGTTGTGGGGATACCTTTGGAGCCTGGCGGAGAAGGGGCTGATCAAGGCAGTGGTGGGGGGACCGCCGTGCCGAACTGTGTCAAGATTGAGGCATCACCAGCCTGGACCCCCACCTCTGAGAGGAAGGGACGTTTGCAGGTTTGGCCTTCCTGGCCTTTCGGAGGAGGACAGAAAGAAGGTCAATGGGGACACGGCGTTGTTCTTCAAGCAGATGGGCCTGTGGCTTCGGGCGCAGGAATGCTCCGAGGAGAAGAAGGGACCTGTGGGCTTCTTGCTGGAGTCCCCCATGGACCCAGTGGAGTATGATCCCAGAGCAGTGGAGCTGGATGTGCCCTCTTTTTGGAACTTCAGGACTTCTGCGAACATGATGGACCTGGTGAGCTTTGATCAAGGAGCGGCGGGCCATCCGAGGAGAAAACCCACCACGCTGGCAACCAATTTGCCAGGCATGGGGGAGCTCCACGGAATGAAGGGCCAAGGTCATCAAGAGATGGAGGGCGACCTCCGCAAGAGGCTGGTCCAGACGAAAACCTGGGCGAAATGGGCGCCTGGGTTGGTGGCGGCCATCAAGATGTCCCTCAAGGAGCTGGTCAAAAGGCTCGAAGAGCGGAAGGAAGAGAAAGCCATGGAGGCAGGGGAGCTCAAGAAGATGACCCTGGAGAAGTGGAAGCAGCACGTGGGGCGGGGGCACACTCCGTTCAATCGACGGTGCCGCATCTGTATGCAGGAGGCTGGAGTGGATCGGCAGCACCGGAGGTTGAAGGCGGACATTCCGTCCTATGTCCTCAACGTGGACATCGCTGGGCCATTTTCGACAGGGGAGGACGTCGGAACAAGCAGAAAGGTGAAGTATGTGCTGATTGGGACGGTCCCGATCCCAATTGGAGCTGGGGACAAGGAGCCTTCAGAAGCGGCCGAGCCGGAGGAGGAGGACCCGAATCCAGCAGATTGGGAAGAGGAGGAGGAT